AAATTACAAATTGTAAAATATAATAATATCATTCATTACTAATAACATATTCAATCTTGGATATAATTATAATAGATGATTTTAGATTATTTTGCGGAGATCTTGGTAATGAGGTAACAGATGATATGCTTTACAAAGCATTCAGTAAATATTTATCAATCCAAAAAACCAAAGTGATTCGAGACAAAAGAACGGGTAAGAGCAAAGGATACGGATTTGTTAGTTTTAAAGATGCGGATGAATTTGTCAAAGCATGGAAAGAAATGAATGGTAGGTTTAATATATATATTATCATGGGAAAGGTTTTGCTGGTCGCTGGTAGAGATTTTTTATTTGTAAATAATGACAATAGTAATAATTGGACACTAATTTATTTAAATTACTATCAATTAACCAAGGTAAATATGTTGGAAACAGACCAATTAAATTGAGAAAAAGTAATTGGAAAGATAGAAATTTTGATGCCAAATCAAAGAAACATCATCCTTATTAAATAATTGCAATATTGATGCATATCGAAAGTTGAAACATATTCCTGCGTTCTTTAGAAAAATAATAAAATGAATATTTATTTATACTTTTGCTGTCTTTATAATTGATGTATCGATTTATAAAAAAAATTTTTAATATAACAATAACTTTATTCTCATAAAAAAAATCATAGCAACATGTCTGAACTTTATTTGAAATTAGAAAACTTGGTGAGGGTAAGAAATTAAACTATGATCGGGAGCAAATAGTTACCAAATTTGATTTTTAAAGGAATGTATGGTGTTGTTTACAGGGAAAAAGAGATAGCAGCTGGAAAATGACTGATTTTGGCAAAAGCACCCATTTGCTCTTTAGAACTGAGCTTTTTTTTGATATAATCTATTCGAGAAACCTGTATTCCAGTTAAACATTATACATGAAGTATATTAGATCGATATATTAGATAATTGTTTTGTTGATAAAAGCATTTGATTTTGTGAATATAACATTGTATTACAGATCATCTGAAATCAAGATACCCAAGTAGTATTGGATGTATTTTTGCTGGAATAATTGGCAAAATATAAATAATTACCATCATTAATATCGTCATTGTCATTATTCCTTTTTAATTCAATTATTACTCATACTCACAATATATGTAGATGCGTGTGATGGAAAAAGAAAAAGAATCAAGCAGATAAAAGCTCTCTCAAGTGAGTCTTTAATTTTGCAAAATCTCGAATACCTTCAGCAAGTTTTTCTGTAGCCATAGCATCTTCATTAAGTGCCCATCTGAAACCTTTTTCATCAAAGGTAACTTTTTCTTAACTAATTATAAACCACGATTAACAATTTGTTGTGAAGTGCGTATATTTGACGTATATAAATAGTATGCATGCATAATATACATGCATTATGTATATACAAACATTTTACACATAAACACAAATAACTTACCATTTTCAGGACTTAGGTTACGTTTAATGGTTTTTTTAGTATCAGAATGTAATTGTTCTAACAATTTTGGACTAATAATCAAAAGATCACAACCAGCTAATTCTTCGCCTTCCCCTGTGTTACGGAATAAAGCACCCATAACAATAGTTTTTACAATAATAATAAATTTTAGTGACAGATTTTACACCTGGATCTTCTTTGGCTGAGAAATCTTGTCCTGTATTTTTCTTATACCAATCAAGAATACGATCAACAAATGGTGAAACCAAAGTTACGCCTGCCTCAGCACATGCGACTGCCTATTATATATGAGAGGAAGAGAAACAGGGAGCAAGAAAACAAACAAATATGTAAAAAGAATTTAATAATAACCTGAGGGAAAGAGAAAGTAAAGTGAGATTACAATGGAAACATATGCCAACATTTATGGTTGTGAACTTGATAATACAATAAATTCACTAAAATATATACAAGAATCTTTAAAATCATTATCATCAACACCAGAAACAAACGATGTTTCTACTTTTACTTCAGCTGCTGCTAATTTCATACCAATACCTCCTGAAGTACTTATTAAAGCACTAAATCAAGCTGAACTAATAGAAATAGAGCTTAGAAATAGAAGAAACGAAAGAATTAAAGCTCTTGAGAATTTACCAGCAAATTTATCAAATGAACCATTGAAACAACGATTGGCTTTTGATGATGACAACAAACCTGTTTCAAATCCTAAGCTCAAAGCCGTAATAGAATTAAAGGCTTTAAGATTATATGATCATCAACAAAAGGCAATAACGATTTTATTTATTCATTCATTCATTTCATTCATTCGTTCATTCATTCACTCATTTCAATTAGTTAATTAATTATTTAGTTATAAAAAAAACTCTTAATTTGAAAATAATAATTTATAGATTCGTAATAATGTTTTTCAATACAGTCCGATGTATAATAAACCACAGAGACTTGATGATATTTTACAATATAGACGACCAGAAGAAAAAGTAGAGTACACTTTGTCATATATTCAAAAACGTGAACAAGATCGTATACAGAAAAAAATCAACAAAAAGAAAGCCAAGCGAAATAGATTTTTGTTTCAGATAAAAGCAACGTATGCAGATTATGTCACAATATCTGAGTTAATGAGGGATAAAAAACTTGCATTTGGTAGGGCAGTCTTAAACTATCATGCATCTGTTCAAAAAGAACAACAAAGAAAGCAAGATAAATTCCAACGAGAAAGGTTGAATGCTTTAAAAAACGATGATGAAGAGGCATACATGAAATTGATTGATGAAACTAAAGACACCAGACTCAGTCATTTATTAAAACAAACTGATCAATATCTTGAAAAATTGGCAAAAGCAGTTTCCACTCAACAAAATGAACCTTTTAATAATAATTCAATGATTAACACTCATTTCGTTCCCAGCACTATATTTTCATCACCAGTTATTGACGAAGACAATATCATTGAAACAACAGTAATTGATTTATTTAACATGATACTATCATTATATCATAATCATCTATTAATATGAAATTGATTGTTATTTTTTGTCAATTAATAATTAGGATGGAAAAAAAATTGATTATTACCAAGTTGCACATAGGATAAAAGAAGAAGTAAAGCAACCGTTGATACTTAAAGGTGGCATATTGAAAGAATATCAATTAAAGGGATTAGAATGGATGGTGTCGTTATATAATAATCGTTTGAATGGTATTCTAGCAGATGAAATGGGATTGGGGAAAACAATTCAAACAATTTCCTTGATTACATGTTTAATTGAAAAAAAGAAACAAAATGGACCATTTCTAATAATTGTTCCATTATCGTGAGTAATAATGTCAATTATATTTTTAATATTATGATTTTAATAAT